CTCCTGCCTCAGTCTCCTGAGTAGCTGGGACTACAGGCATGTGCCACCATGCCTGGCTAATTTTTTGTTTTTAGTAGAGATGGGTTTTTTCCTGTTTATCAGACTGGTCTCGAACTCCCGACATCAGGTGATCTGACCACCTCAGCCTCCTAAAGTGCTGGGATTACAGGTGTGCACCACTGCACGTGGCCAAGATTCAGCATAATTCTTTAGGGCCCAGGACTTACAGAATGGTAAATGAGCATTGGCTTCACCTTCAAGTCACCAGCTGCACTAACCTCTAACAACAGTCAGCGTGTCCTTTGAAGCTAGACATTGACTTCCTGCTAGTTATGAAAGTCCTAAATGGCATCTTCCAATAAGGCTGTTTCATCCATGATAAGGCTGATCATCTGTGTAGTGTAGTCACCTGCATACATAATCTTCGCTAGCTCTTCCGGATAACTTACTGCAGTTCCACATTAGCGCCTACTGCTTCACCTTGCACTTTTATGTTACGGAGATGACTTATTTCCTGAAACTTCATGAACCAACCTTGGCGAGCATCACACTTTTATTCTGTAGCTTCCTTGCCTCCCTCAGCCTTCACAGAATTGAAGAGTATCAGGGGGTTGCTCTACATTAGGCTCTGGCTTAAGGGAATGTTAGGGCTGGTTTGATTATCTATCCAGACATTCCGACAGACTGTCTCCACATCAGCAATAAACTGTTTTCTTTTTTCTTTCTTTTTTTTTTGAGACGGAGTTTCACTCTTATCTCCCAGGTTAGAGTGCAATGGCTTGATTTTGGCTCACTGCAATCTTGCAATCACCGCCTCCTGGGTTCAAGCGATTCTCTTGCCTCAGCCACCTGAGTAGCTGGAGTTACAGGTGCACACCACCTCACTCGGCTAATTTTGTATTTTTCGTAGAGATGGAGTTTCATGATGTTGACTAGGCTGGTCTCGAACTCCTGACCTCAGGTGATCCACCTGACTTTGCCTCCCAAAGTGCTGGGATTACAGGCGTGAGCTGCTGCACCCGCCTAATAAGGCTGTTTTCTTATCATTTGTGTGTCCATTGTATAGCACTTATAATTTTCTTCGATAGCTTTCCTTTGCAATCACAGCTTGGCTAACTGTTGGGCACAAGAGGCCTAGCTTTTGACCTATCTTGGCTTTCACCATGCCCTCCTCACTAAGCTTAATCATTTCTAGCTTTTTATTTAAAGTGAGAGACCTGTGACTCTTCACTTGGAACACTTAGAGGCCACTGTAGTTACTAACTGGCCTAATATCAATATTGTTTCTCAGGGAATAGGGAGGCCAGAGGAGAGGGAGAGAGAAGGGGGAACAGCCAGTCCAGTGAAGCCGTCAGAACACGCCCAACCACCATGGGCAGGGTTTGTGGTCCTGAAACAATTACAATAGTAACATCAAAGATCATCAATCACAGATCACTAACAAACATACTAAAACGAATAAGTTTGAAATATTGCAAGAATTACCAAAATGTGACACAAAGTGAGCAGATGCCATTGGAAAAATGACTCCCATAGACTTAACAAAACACAGGTTGCCACGGACTTTCAGTTTGTAGAAAAACACAATATCTGTAAATTGCAATAAAGCAAACACAGTGAAATCTGTATGCCTGTATATTTTTTTTTTCTATCCACACTCACTCTACCCTCCAACTTATTTTTTTTGGTGGGGGTAGAGACAAGGTCTTGATATCTTGCCCAGGTGGCCTTGAATTACTGAGCTCACGTGATTCACCTCAGCCTCCCAAAGTGCTAGGAGTACAGACATGAGCCACTGTGCCCCCATCCCCAACTACTTTAAAAGTTGAATTACTTTTTGGCAATTGCTGACTTACCTATAGAAGTGTTCCTTTCATCAACTATGAATGGATCAAGACTCTGAATGTTTCTGAGAAAATTATTGCTATTAGTATGAATGGTTTTAGTGTTTAAGGGTAGCTCTGGGGCAAAGAAAAATGAACAAATATGTACATTTATAAGAAAAAGGAAAGGAACCACTGTAGTATATGTGACTTTTTTGTTTTGTTTTTTTGAGACAGAGTCTCACTCTGTTGCCCAGGCTGGAGTGCAGTGGTGCGATCTTGGCTCACTACAACCTCTGCCTCCTGGGTTCAAGTGATTCTTTTGCCTCAGCCTTTCACGCTGGGATTACAGGCATGTGCCAGCATGCCCAGCTAATTTTTTTTTGGGGGGGAGGTATTTTTAGTAGAGATGGGGTTTCATTATGTTGGCCAGGCTGGTCTTGAGCTCCTAACCTCAGGTGATCCACCTGCCTTGGCCTCCAAAAGTGCAGGGATTACAGGCATGAGCCACTGTGCCTGGCCAGTATACCTGTTTTGCAGATGAGGAAACTGAGACTCTTAGAGACTTTTGCTGAAGCTAGTAAATGAAATAACCAGTACCAGTCCTGGGCCGTATTTCCACTTAGTGTCTCAGAACTATCTGGACTCTGTTAAAAATGTACATTTCTGGGTTCTACCGAGACATGCTGAATCAGACTTTCTGGGGTGAAACACCAGAACCATTATTTCTTTTGAGACAGTCTTGCTCTGTCACCCAGGCTGGAATGCAGTGGTGGGATCTTGGCTCACTGCAGCTTCCCCTTCCTGAGTTCAAGTGCTTCTCCTGCCTCAGCCTCCTGAGTAGCTGGGATTACAGGCGTGTACGATCACGTCTGGCTAGTTTTTATATTTTTACTAGAGAAGGAGTTTCACCATGTTGGCCAGAATGGTCTCGGAGCTCCTGACCTCAGGTGGTCCATTCGCCTTGGCCTCCTGAGGTGCTGGGATTACAGGTGTGAGTCGCTGCACCTGGCCTGGAACCTTTGTTTTTACCAAACTCTCCAGTGATCCTGACAACATGAGCAGCTTGGGACCCACACGCCAGTGCTTTCCTGAACCCAGGCAAAAATAAGAACCCAACATAGCAAAATTAAAAGTCACGACAGGCTGGAAAGAGTGCAGCATATGGGCCTCAGTCACCCGTTATTGGATGGATGGAGTTTAGTGCTTATTTATAAGGTGATTTGTAAACTTTCCCATATGGTCACATTTATTCAGCACAATAATACAATTAATTCCCTGGGACTGAAGTAGCTTTATCCCAAGTGTTTCCAAACAAAACTAACTGAAATGTTCCCAGGTCATTGACAGTTGCCTGCACCCAGTCCATCTGTTCCAGCCCAGCTGGCGGTAGAAAGGCTGGTCCTGGCTGTGAGTCTGAGCAATGCTCTCCTCCAAAGCCCTGCCTGGGAACTGCAGTTCCTCTGGTTTCATCTGTCAGCTCTGTCTCTTTGAAAACTGGGGGAAGCCTCCTGATGCCTCCCTGCTCTTGGCAGTGTACTGTTGACAGCATTGGCTGGATGTCTTCACTCTGCATTGTGGTTAGGTGCAGTGCAGACCCTCTCGGGACTGAAAACACAATGTAAAGGTGGCCTTAGCGCTGAAGCCTGGAGGCTGCTGCGGTTGTACCCTCGGACTTTTGTGAGAGGGGAAGAAGCCAGCTCCCAGTTTTCATGTGCTGCTAAAAACATACAGGCTGGTGGCGAAGGTAGCCTCTGCAGTCACTCATCCCAGAAGGTTCCAGAAAGAGCTGAGCTCCTAACACTTTTTTCTTTTATTCAAGAAATTGAGTCTTGCTCTGCCACACAGGCTGGGGTGCAGTGGTGCAGTCACAGTTTACTGTAGCCTCAAACTCATGGGCTCAAGCAATCCTCCAACTTCAGCCTCCTAAGTATCTGGGACCACAGGCACATGCCACCACGCCCCACTAAATTTTTTATAGATACAGGATCTCATTATGTTGCCCAGGCTGGTCTCAAACTCCTGGCCTCAAGTAGTCCTCCCATCTTGGCCTCAGGGTGCTGGGACTATAGGTGCATGCCACCATGCCAGGCCTTAAGAGAGGACATTCTAAAAGATTTTTTTTTTTTTTTTTTTTTTGAGGCAGAGTCTCACTCTGTTGCCCCGGCTGGAGTGCAGTGGTATTATCTCACCTCACTGCAACCTCCACCTCCCGGGTTCAAGCGATTCTTCCGCCTCAGCCTCTTGAGTGGCTGGGATTACAGGCACCCGCCAACATGCCCGGCTAATTTTTGTATTTTTGTAGAGATGGGATTTCACCGTGTTGGCCAGGCTAGTCTTGAACGCCTGACCTCGGGTGGTCTGCTCGCCTCGGCCTCCCAAAGTGCTGGGATTACAGGCGTGGCCAATGGGCCTGGCCCCTCCTACCACTTTTACCTAGGCCTGCTCACCCCAGGCTGGCATCTCCCTCAGAGGCGGGAGGTGAAGGTGGCTGCTGCTGGGCTTTAGGAAGCACAGGTGCAGACCATGTTGTGGATTCCCAGAGGACTGAGCCCTCCGCCCCCGCCTCTCCCCCGCCCCCCCCCACCTCCTGGAGGCCTTGATCGTGTTATCCAATTATGATGGGTCCCCAGTGTTTCTGGAACTTTCCTCTCCTTCCCTTCCTTCCTTACCTAATTATTTTTTTAAGCTCCAGGACCTGGAATTTATCCTGGCTCGACACTGTCCAACAGCCAGCCCCCTGTCTTCACCCCCCAATCGCCTGTCTTCACTTCCCTCTTCCCACTTAATTTGCTTTCCTCATGGACCCAAACTCAGGGTTTTGGGGGGATGGCTGGGGAGTATGGTCGAGGAGAGGGATTATTTGAAGTAGAAACCTAAAGTTTTCATTATAGTACACTTAGAAAATACAAGAGAAAAATTCACCCCTAGAAAATGATGGTAAACATCTAGTTTGTTTCCCTCTGCATAGTTTAAAAACTAGATTGCCAATTTTACCTTGCGTTAGTGTCTTCATGGTTACGCCGCCTCCCCGCTTCACACTGTACGTTGGAGTGTGTCTTTCTGTGGTCTAGTTATTTTCACTTGGAGGAACGAACTTTCTGAGAAAATGTGTTGTGTCAGCCCTTTCTACTCATTAACCAAGAAATCACAGTGTTGTTTTTTTTCTCAATGTAGAGAAGTAATTCAGAGTTCAAAAGAAGTTCTGCGTTTACTGCAAGAAAAAAACCCTGCCTTCAAGCCGGTTCTTGCAATTATCCAGGTAAGCTGAGAACGAGGTTCAGTCCTACTATTTTAGGATGCCTTTCAATTTAGAAAATGATTGTATACAAAAGAGCAGCCCCGATTCTTGCGGAAGAAGAGAGGGCTCGGTGAGCAATGCTGCTGTTTTCTTTGGTCTTTTGATTCTTTGTGGTCATGGGTTAAGTACTGCTCTGCTTGAGCCTTCTTTTGTGAATTTTCCTCTCTGACGTATGGGTAGTTTTCACAGGTCTAGGAGGAAGGCACCTACGTGCATTGCATTACACAGGATACATCGTGGTCCATGTGTGCTCACAAATGCTTACCAAATGTGATTTGAAGGTTTTGGGAAAAAAAGTCCCACTTTGTTTTAATGGAGGCAGGTGCTAGATGAAAGATGGATATTTGGTAATCTTTTACTCTATCTTTTAAAGCCTGCCATAAACTTGACAGGCCAAAAGTCATTACCCCATCCAAAGGACTTTGCATTCCACATACTTCTTTTGGCTGCAGCCCTGGTTCCGAGCCACAGTTGGCCTCGGTTGCCATCCTGATTGGCACACTTGTGTGATGGCAGGTGCCGAGAAATAACGAGGTGAGCCAAGCGTGGAAGTAAACTCAGCCTGACAGTTGGGCTGCTACTGTGAGGCTTGGCACGCACTTAGCGTATCAAAATAGCCTCTGGTTCCTTCGTGCTGCATATTTCAGGATTACAGAGCTGTGCTCAAGTTTCTTATGTTCTCTGCTATCTGTAGCCATATCTCGTTAAAAAGAAAGGAGAGTTAGAACAATAGAAAGAAATTTAGATTAGGGCTTGGTCCTCCTGGGGTCTACTGACTCCCTGGCTTTCCATCTAAAGGCAAACCATTTCAACTCCCATCTTTGGTGTCCCCATTTTTTTTTTGTAATGGGGTCTCGCTCTGTTGCCCAGGCTGGAGTGCCATGGTATGATCTTGGTTCAACGAAACCTTGACCTCCTGGGCTCAAGCGATCCTCCCATTTCAGCCTCCTGAGTAGCTGGAACTGCAGGCATGCACCACCATGCCTGGCTAACTTTTGCATTTTTTGTAGAGATGGGATTTCACCATGTTGCCCAGGCTGGTCTTGAACTCCTGGGCTCGAGCAATCTACCATTTCAGCCTCTCAAAGTGCTGAGATTACAGGCATGAGCCACTGTGCCCAGTCCGTGCCCTCATTTTTAGAGAGGGAAGCTGGCTAGGTTACTATGTATGTCTTCTAAGAGGAAGGATATTATTTTCCTTAAAAAAGTGGCATAATTTGAAGGCCTGAGGAATTACTCTGTTAAATACTGTCCACGAGTCCCTTTTTATAAATAGCAAGATTGTTTTTCTGCACTTTCCATATTATCTTTGTAATTAGATCATCTGTAATCACAAAATTCATCTCTGGATTATCTTTCGTGCCTTTTCAAGCTATTTTTATGTTGTTACGTTGTTTTTTCTCTCCTAAGGCAGGCGATGACAACTTGATGCAGGAAATGAACCAGAATTTGGCTGAGGAGGTGAGGACTTATTAAAAATTCATTATAACTTTTAACAATACATTCTCTTATAGTGACAAATAACCTTGTGTTCCTTTTTCAGGCTGGTCTGAACATCACTCACATTTGCCTCCCTCCAGATAGCAGTGAAGCCGAGGTAATAATGGCAGAGCTCTGAACTCTTGCTTTTCTTTCCTCTTGAGACCTAATGGGCCCATTGGTGTCTCTTAGTGGTGGCTGGAACAGATCCAGCCTTTGCTTGTAGCTTAATGTTAGAGGGAAGAGTTCACTTCTTTTCTCTAGGGTAAATGCTTCTTAATAACATCCCTGCTCCTTGTCATTTGCTATATGTCTCCCGAAGACTTGAGCTTCAACCTGTTGAGTTTGGTTGTGTTTCTTCAGCTGTGGTGGTAGCATCATCTAGTGGAAATTGTCAGGCTGAGGTGAGGAAATTGGACCTTGTGGCACAATCCCTGTACTTAGGGCCCCGACCCTTCTATGGTTAGCTTTTCTTCCTGCTGCCTGCATGTGATAGAAAAGCTCAAATAACGGAATCTTAAATAATATAGAAGTTTATTTCTCTTTTTTTATTCTTTTGAGATGGAGTTTCCTTCTTCTTGCCCAGGCTGGAGTACAATGGTGCGGTCTCAGCTCACTGCAACCTCCACCTCCCGTGTTCAAGTGATTCTCCCCCCTCAGCCTCCCGAGTTGCTGGGATTACGCCTGGCTAATTTTTGTAGAGATGGGGTTTCACCGTGTTAGCCAGGCTATTCTTGAACTCCTGACCTGAGGTGATCCGACCTCCCAAAGTGCTGGGATTACAGGCATGAGCCACCAAAGCTGGCCTTGCCACTGGTATTGATAGCCCTTGACTTTTGTTGTTGTTTATAATTGACACATAATGATTGTGCATGGGTGTGGGGTACAGTGTGATGTTTCAGTACTTGTATATGTTATGTAATGATGAAATCAGGTTAGTTACATCCATTTCCTAGGACATGTATCATTTATTTGTGAAGATAGCTTTCAAGATCTTTTCTAGCTTGGCTTGAAATATACAATACATTGTCATTAGCTACAGTCACCCTACTGTGTAATAGAACACTAGAATTTATTCCTCCTAAGTGAAACTGTGTACCTACCGATTGACCAACCCCTCCCCTTTTCCCCTTCCCCGCTCCAACCCAGCCTCTGGTAACCACCATTCTATTCTCTATTTCTATGAGATCAACTTTCCTAGATTGCACATGTAAGTGACATCCTATGGTATTTGCCTTTCTGCGCCTGGCTTATTTCGCTTAATGTTATGTCCTCCAGGTTCATCCATGTTGCCACAAATGACAGGCTTTTGTTCCTTTTTATGGTTGAATGATATTCCATTGTATATACAAACCACACTTTCTTTATCCTCCCTTAATGGGCATTTGGATTGGTTCCATCTCTTGGCCGAGGTGAATAGTGCTGTAATAAACATGGGAATGCAGATGACTTCTCAGCATAGTGCTTTCAGCTCCTGTGCCTATATACCTAGTAGAGGGAATGGCTGGGCCATATGGTAGTTGCTTTTTAATTTTGTCGGGAGTCTACATACTGTTTTCTCTAATGTCTGCATTAATCTGCCTTCCCACCAACAGTGTGTAAGAGCTCCCCTTTCTGCCTATCCACACCAGCATTTGCTATTGTCATTTTTGATAATAGCCATTGCTAACTGGGGTGAGGTGATTTCTCACTATGGTTTGATTTGCATTTCTGATGATGATGAGTGTTTTGTCCTATACCTGCTGACTATTTGTATGTATTTTGGGAGATGTCTGTTCAGGTCTTTAGCCCGTTTTTTATTTGAATTATTTGTTTTTTTGCTGTTATTTGAGTTTCTTATATATTCTGGATGTTAACCCCTTGTCGGATGCATAGTTTGCAAATCTTTTCTCCCATTCTGTAGGTTGTCTCTGCTTTGTTGATTTTTTTTTTTGCTATGAAGAATGTTTTTAGTTTGATGTAATCCCACTTGTTTATTTTTGCTTTTGTTGCCTATTTTTTTGAGGTCCTATCCAAAAAACCTTGTCCAGGCCAGTGTCTTGAAGCATTTCCCCTATGTTTTCTTCTAGTCTTATGGTTTGGGACCTTATGTTTAAGTCTTTATTCATTTTGGTTGGTTTTTATAGAAGGTGAGCGATGAGGGCCTAGTTTCCTTCTTCTGTGTGTGGATACCCAGTTTTCCCAGCTCTATTTATTGAAGAGGCTCTCTTTCCACAGTACGTGTTCTTGGCACCTTTGTCTTGACTTATTTTTTGACAAGGAGCCCTTTATTCTTATTTTTCTTTGGTGAAATTCTAAAAGAGTGAATTTGTATGGTGTTATGTTGAAAAAGAGTAAGTATCTTAATTTATTGATTAAGATCTGTGTTGGCATTTGTTGATTCTACCAAATGCTTGGTGCAGGTGACAGTAGTTTCATCACTTCATTCTGGTCTCTGCTTGGACATCGTGGCCTCTGACCACCCCTCCACCCGTCACTCTGTTAGCCCTTTACCCCACTGAACCTGTTTTTCTGCATACAGTTTATTATTTCCAGCAATTTTACTTTTATTATTACAGTTTGGAAGGGAGGAAGGAAGTTGCCTCTTCCTCTAGAGTGTAAGATCCACGAGGACAGTTTTGTTTATAGCTCTATTTCCTTTACTTAGAACTGATACAGAGTAGGTGCTCAGAACATTTGTTGAATGAATGAAAGAATGCCGAACGAATGAAACAAAACTTTCTTTCTGATTTTGTGCCTCCAGTGGTTTCCCCTGCCACCCCACAGGTAGTGATTTTCATTAGACAATGAAACGGAAATGGTAAACCAATCTTCCGCAGAGCCTCTGAGTGAGATCTATATGCCAGGAAAAGTATCTTCTTACTTCCCAGCAAATATTTTTGTTAAGTGAGATGAATCAAAATCTTATCTCCTGACATAAAATTAACAAAGAGAAGACAAAGCATTGCTTATTTAGAGACACACCCAGACATTCATTAGCTTCCCAAAATGTAGTCTGGTCTTTTTACTAAGTAGTGAATTGTTTTAGTGTTTCCCATGAAAGGAGCTGTGCATGCTAAAAGTTTTTCTAGCATCAGCCTTTGGAAAGGCTCCTTATGTGTTACTGAGGTCCAGATAACCCGAGGGCCTCCGTGACTGCTTGGATGTCATGATTAGTGAGCTTTGTTGAACACATTGTGTTTGAAAGGCACAGGGTTATTCGACCCAGGTTGGAATGCTTCAGATTCATGTTTCTGGCCTCCCTGAAAACTGGCAGTGTGCTTGGCTTATAGTACGGCTTGTTGACGTTGCCTTTCTGAACTTTAATAGCTGTTGAACTTTGGCTTGGTTCTGTTTTGTCTTTTTCTGGCACAGAGCAGAGCCACAGAAAGGCAGATAAGTCATTAAAAAATTCAGCCAAGCCTTTTAATTTTTTTTTTGAGCTTTATACACATGATGAAAAGAAAAATAGACTTTTTATTGTGCTTTACCCCAAGTCATCAACAAGGAGCTACACAACAACAAGCTGTACCAGATGCAATTTCATGAATCCACTGTTTAGAGAAAGCTTTTTTCATTGGGTCTTATTTTCACAAAACTAATTTTTATTTACTTATTCATTTTGTTCTCTCTTTAGATTATAGATGAAATCTTAAAGATGAATGAAGATACCAGAGTACATGGCCTTGCCCTTCAGATCTCTGAGAACTTGTTTAGCAACAAAGTCCTCAATGTCTTGAAACCAGAAAAAGATGTGGATGGGTAAGAAAATAAAAACACATAATCCACCTTTATGGCTAAATCACTTTTTCTATTATGCTGGGTGTTTTTTTTTTAGATGGAGTTTTGCTCTTGTCGCCCAGGCTGGAGTGCAATAGTGTAATCTGAGATACACAGCCTCCGCCTTCTGGGTTCAAGCGATTCTCCTGCCTCAGCCTCCGGAGTAGCTGGGACTATAGGAGCCCGCATTGATGTCCAGCTAATTTTGTGTTTTTAGTAGAAATGGGATTGCCTTCATGTTGGTCAGGCTGGTCTTGAACTCCGTACCTCAGGTGATCCATCTGCCTTGACCTTCCAAAGTGTTGGGATTATAGGCATGAGCCCCTATGCCTGGCCAACCTTTTTTAATTTTTTCTAAATTTCTTCTATTTGTTTGAACTATGTCTCAGTGTAACTTTGTACCTACTGATTGACCAACCTTTCCCCATGTCAGTAATTAGATGAAAAAAATTATTTTAAATAGTTCAGGAGTGTGTATAGGCTTTTAAAATTCTGCATGCAAAAGTTATATATTTTGGAAAATACATTAGCCATTTTATCGTGCTTCAATGCCATATGATCTTACCATCAGATTCATTAAAGCCCCAGTCTGAATTATACAATCTTTGGCCAGCTCTATTCTTCTAATATTTTATTCCTTGGTAATTCCAAGGGAAAAGACCAGAGAAGAAAACTAAGAAACCCGATTCCCCAGCAGTACCGTATTCTTAGTCCCAGGCCAGCTGAGAAAAGCAAAACAAATACTTTTCTTAATGACACAAGGTTTTATGTGAAATTTAGAGGGGAACATCATAACTATTGGGTGCTGTAATGTCAGGTTCTGATTCCTGTCGCTGAGTGATATAAGCTTCATAGAACAAAGCATACTGGCCTTCTCCAGTGGAGGATAAGCATGCTTCCTGGGGATTAAAAACCCCATTTTCCTCCATGGAAATATAGGAAGCATTTTGTACTGTGGCCAAAAAGAACACAATGTTTTTATGGTTATAGGTTGTAAGCAGATTTATAAAGTTAGATTCCAGATCTGGTAGACCCTTCATGGGCTGGATAGAGAGGCTGCCATCTCCCTGAGACACCCAGCAATCTTCCATTCTAGCTTTTAATTGTGACTTGAGTAGACCCAAACACAGGCTGAAAAGGTGTCACGAACACCTCCAGTCCTGACAGGGCATGGTGGCTCACACCTGTAATCCTAGCACTTTGGGAGGCTAAGGCAGGAGGATTCGTTGATCTCAGGAGGTCGAGACCAGCCTGGGCAACATAGTGAGATCTTGTCTCTGTTTTTAAATAAATAAACGAATATTCTTTTCTCTTTTTTTTTTTTTTTTTTGAGACGGAGGTTTGCTCTTGTTACCCAGGCTGGAGTGCAATGGCGCAATCTCAGCTCACTGCAACCTCCGCCTCCTGGGTTCAGGCAATTCTCCTGCCTCAGCCTGTAGCTGGGACTACAGGCACGTGCCACCATGCCCAGCTAACTTTTGTATTTTTAGTAGAGTCGGGGTTTCACCATGTTGACCAGGATGGTCTCGATCTCTTGACCTCATGATCCACCCACCTCTGCCTCCCAAAGTGCTGGGATTATAGGCGTAAGCCACTGTGCCCAGCCTAATAAACAAATATTTTTTGCAAAAACATCAACAATCTCCAATTCTGTAGTAGTCTAACTTTAAAAGGAGAAGAAGCCCTAATCAATGAGAAAACTTTCAGAACTTGAAGGTCCCAGGGCATAGTTTCAAGTCTTTCATAAAAGGAGAGGAATTCATGCTGAAGCCCAGCCAGGAAAAACCAACCAAACAACAACAGGAGAGTCAAAGAAGAAATTAGGAAAAGGGTTCTAATGTCTCCATTCTGTTACTGGGATTGATGTGCTCACTTTAGGCTAGACATTTGTGGAGTGTTTTGTCCTAGACTTGAACAGGGAGAGGCACAGCCTTCACAAGTATGCGGTCACTCATTTTTTCCATGCCTCGACTTCCCAAGGAGATAAATATTGAGGTCAAGCTGAAATCAGACCTGTGCGTCCATCCCAGGTCTTACTGGATGACTCCAGATTTGTAGGATCAGCTCTGGGTTTTGAGTAGACTTCAGGACCATGCTGTTGTATAACTAGGGATGCTAGTCCACTGACTACAGGACCATGCTGTTGTATAACTGGGGATGCTAGTCCACTGACTGCAGGACCATGCTGTTATATAACTAGGGATGCTAGTCCACTGACTGCAGGACCACGCTGTTATATAACTAGGGATGCTAGTCCACTGACTGCAGGACCACGCTGTTGTATAACTGGGGATGCTAGTCCACTGACTGCAGGACCACGCTGTTGTATAACTAGGGATGCTAGTCCACTGACTACAGGACCACGCTGTTGTATAACTAGGGATGCTAGTCCACTGACTACAGGACCACGCTGTTGTATAACTAGGGATGCTAGTCCACTGACTACAGGACCATGCTGTTGTATAACTGGGGATGCTAGTCCACTGACTGCAGGACCACGCTGTTGTATAACTAGGGATGCTAGTCCACTGACTACAGGACCACGCTGTTGTATAACTAGGGATGCTAGTCCACTGACTACAGGACCATGCTGTTGTATAACTAGGGATGCTAGTCCACTGACTGCAGGACCACGCTGTTGTATAACTAGGGATGCTAGTCCACTGACTGCAGGACCACGCTGTTGTATAACTAGGGATGCTAGTCCACTGACTGCAGGACCACGCTGTTGTATAACTAGGGATGCTAGTCCACTGACTGCAGGACCATGCTGTTGTATAACTAGGGATGCTAGTCCACTGACTGCAGGACCATTCTGTTGTATAACTGGGGATGCTAGTCCACTGACTACAGGACCATGCTGTTGTATAACTAGGGATGCTAGTCCACTGACTGCAGGACCATCCTGTTGTATAACTAGGGATGCTAGTCCACTGACTGCAGGACCATGCTGTTGTATAACTGGGGATGCTAGTCCACTGACTGCAGGACCACGCTGTTGTATAACTAGGGATGCTAGTCCACTGACTACAGGACCATCCTGTTGTATAACTAGGGATGCTAGTCCACTGACTGCAGGACCACGCTGTTGTATAACTGGGGATGCTAGTCCACTGACTGCAGGACCACGCTGTTGTATAACTGGGGATGCTAGTCCACTGACTGCAGGACCACGCTGTTGTATAACTGGGGATGCTAGTCCACTGACTACAGGACCACGCTGTTGTATAACTAGGGATGCTAGTCCACTGACTGCAGGACCACGCTGTTGTATAACTAGGGATGCTAGTCCACTGACTACAGGACCACGCTGTTGTATAACTAGGGATGCTAGTCCACTGACTACAGGACCATGCTGTTGTATAACTAGGGATGCTAGTCCACTGACTACAGGACCATGCTGTTGTATAACTAGGGATGCTAGTCCACTGACTGCAGGACCATGCTGTTGTATAACTAGGGATGCTAGTCCACTGTGCTCCACGGAAAGGAGCTCCTTGCAGTTGCAAAGTGAAGTTTTATATGGTCTTAGGCTGGGTCCTGGTATGTGGGCAGAACCAGAACACCCCAGGTCAGGGCCAGGATGAAGTTTCCTAAGGTACTGCCTTAGAAAATGAATGGCCTTGGTCGGGTGTGGTGGCTCATGCCTGTAATCCCAGGACTTTGGGAGTCCGAGATGGATGGATCACCTGAGGTTAGGAGTTCAAGACCAGCCTGCCCAACACAGTGAAACCCTGTCTCTACTAAAAATACAAAAAATTAGCTGGGTGTGCTGGCGGGTACCTGTAATCCCAGCTACTCATGAAGCTGAGGCAGGAGAATTGCTTGAACCCAGGAAGTGGAGGCTGCAGTGAGCCAACATCATGCCATTGCACTCCAGCCTGGGCAACAAGAGCAAGCCTCCAACTCAAAAAAAAAAAAAAGAAAGAAAAGGAAAATGAATGGCCTTTATTGCCTGCTTTCTCTTTAATTCATTTTTAATATCTTCTATCTATGAAACATTGACTTGAATGTTATTTGGGGTTAATATGTGCATTACATGTGAGTGATTTTTTTGGCTGGGCTTTGACTTAACCTACTTCCTCATTTTCTGTTTCAGAGTAACGGACATAAACCTGGGGAAGTTGGTACGAGGGGATGCCCATGAGTGTTTTGTTTCACCGGTTGCCAAAGCTGTAATTGAACTTCTTGAAAAATCAGGTAGGATACTCCTTGAGAAATGCTGCTATTTTCTATTTATTGGTATTTACATTATTTTTAATAAGGATTTGTTTTTGGAAGAACTTAAAAATTTTTTATTTTTATTCTGATATCCTTTTAAGATATTTTTGGAAGATTCTAATTGAACATAGAAGCGATATTTCACGTCGACGTTCTTTATTTTTCTCATCTTTTCTTTTGGGAGATACGAATGAATACCTAGAAACTTTTTCTAAGTTTAAAAAAAAAAGAAAAAAGGCCAGGCGCGATGGCTCACGCCTGTAATCCCAGCACTTTGGGAGGCTGAGGCGGGTGGATCAGGAGGTCGAGAGATCGAGACCATCCTGGTCAACATGGTGAAACCCCGTCTCTACTAAAAATGTAGAAAATTAGCTGGGCATGGTGGCGCGTGCCTGTGGTCCCAGCTGTTCGGGAGGCTGAGGCAGGAGAATTGCCTGAACCCAGGAGGCGGAGGTTGCGGTGAGCTGAGATCGCGCCATTGCACTCCAGCCTGGGTAACAAGAGCGAAGCTCCGTCTCAAAAAAAGAAAAGAAAAAAAAATCTTCAGTGAGGTTGTGTATAAAGTTAAAAAAAAAGAGAAAACCTTTTTCTAGTCAGACCATCTTATAAATTAAAAGAGAAATTAGTAGAGATAAACCATTAGCCCTGTTTTAAACATGGTCAGTTTCTCTCATGAAACACTCAAAATAACCACAGTAAAATATGCTTCCAGTTTCAGCTTACTAAATCTGTCAATATGTAGATTTAAATAAAACTTACACTGAAGACTTAAATGAAGCCAAGGCGAGAGGATCACTTCAGGCCAGAAGTTCAAGACCAGCCTTGGCAAACATTGTGAGACCTTTTCTCTACAAAATATTTAAGAATTAGTTGGGTATGGTTGTGTGCACCTGTAGACCCAGCTATGCTGGAGGCTGAGGCAGGAGGATTGCTTAAACCCTGGAGTTTGAGGTAGTAGTAAGCTATGATTACACCACTGCAGTCTAGCCTGGGTACATAGCAAAACCCTGCCTCAAAAAAAAAAAAAAAAAAAAGAGAGAGAGAGAGAGAGAAATGAAGAAACCGTTAGATGTAGTTCAGGGCACCAGAACCTAGGTTGGGATTTATTGGTGAGCAGCGTCTAGTCAGGACTTAATTTCCATTGTTGTCCCCTTGACTTGGCATTTTTATGTCAGTGAAAAAGAAATGAATATTTTCTCTTTCTTTGTTATTAAATTTAATGAGTAAAATACTACCAAGTATTCATATATTTAAGGGCTTTCTAGCCAAGAACATAAAGATTCAACTAATCGGCCAGGTGCAGTGGCTCACACCTGTATTAAGATTCAGCTAATCGGCCAGGTGCAGTGGCTCACACCTGTATTAAGATTCAACTAATCGGCCAGGTGCAGTGGCTCACACCTGTATTAAGATTCAGCTAATCGGCCAGGTGCAGTGGCTCACACCTGTATTAAGATTCAGCTAATCGGCCAGGTGCAGTGGCTCACACCTGTATTAAGATTCAGCTAATCGGCCAGGTGCAGTGGCTCACCTGTAATCCTCACTGCTTTGTGGACCCAAGATGGGAGGATTGCTTGAGCCCAGGAGTTTGACACCAGCTTCGGGAACATAGGGAGACTCCATCTCTACAAAAACAAATTTTTGCCACTCGTAGTGGCTCACACCTGTAGTCCCAGCACTTTGGGAGGCCGAGGAGGGTAAATCATGAGGTCAGGAGTTCAAGACCAGCCTGGCCAACATGGTGAAACCCCATCTCTGTTAAAACGACAAGAAATTAGCTGGGTGTAGTTGTGGGCACCTGTGATCCCAGCTACTTTGGAGGTTGAGGCAGGAGAATTGTTTCAATCCTGGAAGTAGAGTTTGCAGTGAGCAGAGATTGCGCCACTGCACTCCGGCCTGGGCAACAGAGTGAGACTCCATCTCAAAAAAAAAAAATTTTTGTTTTAATTAGCCAGGTGTGGTGGCATTTGCCTGTGGTCCTGGCTACTTGGGAGGCTGAGGCAGGAGAATCACTTGAACCCGGGAGGCAGAGGTTGCAGTGAGCCAAGGTTGTGCCACTGCACTCTAGCCTGTGCAACAGAGCAAGACTGTCTCAAAAAAAAAAAAAAAAAACCCTTTTAAAGCTTCCAAGTAGCTGGGATTACAGGTGTATGCCATGATGCCTAGCTAATTTTTGTATTTTAAGTGGAGACAGGGTTTTACCATGTTGGCTAGGCTGGTCTTGAACCCCTGACCTGAAGTGGTCTGCCTGCCTTGGCCTCCCAACGTCCTGGAATTATTGGCGTGAGCCACTGCACCCAGCCTAAAAGGGTCTTTTTTCTTAAGTTAGAGTTATTAAAGGAAAGATCTGGAGTGTTAGGTATAATACTCAATTTTCATTTGGTTAGTAGGTGTCAACCTCGATGGAAAGAAGATTTTGGTAGTCGGGGCCCATGGATCTTTGGAAGCTGCTCTACAATGTCTGTTCCAGAGAAAAGGGTCCATGACAATGAGCTCCCAGTGGAAAACACCCCAGCTTCAAAGCAAGGTAAATTTCATGTTGGAAACATATCAACTTGAATGCTCATGTTAGAACAGAGGAAAGTCTAGAAATGTATAAACTAAGTGCTTAATTCAAGAAATTTGAGGAAAAAATTGAATAGACCCATATCCATTAAAGACATTGAATCAGTCTACTCACCAAACAAACAAGAAAAGGCAGCAGGTGGTTTTACAAATGAGCTCTCAAACAAAGAACAGATCGTTCTCATTCTATCCTTTTCTCTAGCAAATGGAGAAAGAACATGTCCTAAGACACTTTGAGTGCCGAGGCCAAACGAGGACAAGATGCTGAAGGAGAATTGACAGGCCAGTGTCAGCTATGAATACAAATGAAATAGTCATGAGCAGAATCTTAGAACACCAAATATGGCAGCAAGTTAGGTTCATTTTAGGATTGCCAGGTGATTTAACATGAGACGATCTATCACTGTCATTCACTACATTATGATTAAAAACTTAATTCTCGCCATAGTACAGATAGTCGCTTGGTAAATCTAGTATCCATTATGACCTTTTGAAAGTAATTACAATTTGGATGAAAACCATTAAGAAGACCTATATAAAAGTAGAGGTATCATCTTCATGGCGAAGATGCAATATCTTAAAGATACTAATTCTCTGCAAATTATAGGTTCCTGACATATTTTCTGTAGAATTTGACAATCTGATTCTGAAATCCAAATGGAAACATAAAGGACAAACATAACCAAGCAATTCTGTGGAAAAAGTGGGTGGGAGACATGGCCAACCACCTAGCATGAATTATTATGCACTTATAATAGTCAGGATAATATGGTAGATAAACAGACTGTCAGAACAGAGGAAGGTGGAAATTTATGTGTATATGGAAGCTTGAGAGAAGGTACTACAGATCAGTGAGGAAAAGATTAACTATTAAAGTCAGGGCACAGTGGCTGACGCCTGTAATCCCAGCACTTTGGGAGGCTGAGGTGGGCGGATCACTTGATCTCAGGAGTTGGAGACCATCCTGGCCAACATGGTGAAACCCCATCTGTACTAAAAATATAAAAAATTAGCTGGGCATGGTGGTGCAAGCCTGTAGTCCCAGCTACTTAGGAAGCTGAGACAGGAGAATCGCTTGAACCCGGGAGGCAGAGGTTGCGGTGAGCCGAGATCACGCCACCGCACTCCAGTCTGGGTTACAGAATAAGACTCCATCTCAAAAAAAAAAAAGAGATTATTAAAAATGATGCTGACTAAACTAGTTATATGTATATGAGTCTAGAATAGGAATACTAACCTGATGCTACATATAAAAATCTCTTCTATATTAAAATACCTAAATGTGGAAAGCAAAACTGTAAAACTTATAGAAAAAAATATAGGCATATGCTTTTAAGATGTTGGCATTGGAAGGATAGCTTAAGAGACCCAAAAAGCACAGATTGCTAAAGAAAAGATGCATAAATCTGACTATCAAATTTTAAAAACCCCGAAGCTTTGCTTTGTAAAAAGAAGTTCTTAAAAAAGTGAAAAGACAGCTATAGTATAGAAGATATTTACAACAAACATTTAGCCAGTAATTAGTAACTCATAAAAGATTCCTCCAAATCAATAAGACAGAGACAATCTGTTAGAAAAATGGACACATGACAGGCCACTAACAGATGAGGAGCCTGAGGTTTAAAAGACACTTGAAAAGCTGTCTGGTTTCCTGCTGTTTTTGCTTACCAGTCATATTGGCAGTAGGTAAAAAGTGCCAGTTAGACATATTGACAAATGTCCGGAGCTATGGGAATTCATATATTGCTGGCAGGAGTTAAAATTTGAAATAAGCATTTTGTTTCTTTTTTTTTTTCATTTTATTTTTTTTTTTTTTCGAGATGGAGTCTTGATGTGTCACCCAGGCTGGAGTGCAGTGGCCCAATCTCAGCTCACTGCAATCTCCGCCTCCTGCGTTCAAGCAGTTCTCCTGCCTCAGCCTCCCGAGTAGCTGTCATGACAGGCACATGCCACCACACCCAGCTCATTTTTAGGCATTTTGGAAAGCAGTTTAGTAGAGTTTGAGCTACTCTTTGATCCAGGAATTTCACTCTAAATATGTATCATAGACCAAACTTGCCCATACCTATAAAAAGGTGTGTTTACAATTGGTCAGAGTAACATGTTTACAATGCAAAAAGTTTTATTTGTTTGAAACAGAGGGCCGGTGGTGGTTCTGTGGGTCTCGGCCCCTATCTGTCAGTTGTCAGAGCTGGGTTAGCTCCATGAGTTGGTGAAAGCGGTATCCAGCCAGGTGCAAGGGAGACAGGGCAGGATTTTGCCCCTGTCATGTCCCACTGATGAGCAGGCTAGAGGTCCCCTGTAGAAGGGTGATTCTTGAATATTAAGAGGATGGTGTTCCTCACTGAGCATCTTCTGGAGCCTGATGACCACTAAGGAGTGTATCCGAGTCACCTGCACAAAATCTGTTACTGGAGGCAGTGCTGGCGTGTCCGTACAGGTCCGCAGCAACCTCGACTCTGGCCTCCTCAGAAGAAAGAATTGGACTGAGGGGCATAAGGCAGAAGGAGAAACTGAGGCAAGTTTCAAAGGAGGATGGAAAGCCTATTAAAGAGCTTTAGAATAGTAAGGAAAGGAAAGAAGGAAAGTACAACTTGGAAGAGGGCCAAGCAGGCGACTTGAAAATCAAGTAAACAGTGACCTAGATGCCCATCAGCGTGAATGGATAAATCAGTATAGTTGTAGGTAGAGTATGCATAGACATACATTCATAAAACAGAATGATATTAAATCAGTGAAAATTAATAAAGTAGAGCTGTAGATAGCAACATGAATTTTGCTTTTGTTTGTTTTTTGAGACAGAGTCTTGCTCTGTCTCCCAGGCTGCAGTGCAGTGGCGTGATCTCAGCTCACTGCAACCTCTGCCTTCTGGTTATATATATATTCTAATATATATATTCTAATATATATATATTAGAATTTTTATATATATACATTAGGAATCATATATTATTAGGGGTCCATGCAAACGAAGTAAAAATATAAAGAAATAATGGAAACTATGAACCAAATCTGCAAAGCATTTATTGAGGCAAGGACGTGGATATAGATGGAAAGGAAACCCAGACATCTTCATCCCTTTTTTCTTACACTGGGCAATAGGTGTTGTCTAGGTATGTTAGGTTATCGTTTTACATTTTCATGTCTGAAATGATTTTCATTTTAAAAAATGACAGTACAGCTCACAGATTTCAAGCAAAGTGAAGTTTAAAACGAATGCATTAATCAGTTACTACAGAACATGATCTAAAAATACATGCTCCTCATGTTGCGGGGTGAGAATGGAAATGAGGAGTAGATTGTAATCTTGCCGGGGAAGCCAGGTGTCTCAGCAGATCTGGAATCTTTTCGTGGCAGGTGGATCTAATTTAAGCAATGCTTGGGTTAAGACAGCTCAGGCAGGCAGCCTTGCAGTTAAACCTGAACCTGTGTGCGATTTTAGCGATCACCACATGGTGGCAGCCTATCCAAGAAAATTCAAGGGCAGTATTTTGCATTTTGAGAGCCCAGAAATTTTGATTTGGAAGCTCAGTGGAAGAGGAAAATAAACCTTGCCCTGCACTGAACAGCTGTGGTGAAAAGAGAAGATACCTTCCTTGGCAATTGAATGTTTTCACAGCTGTCACAGATGCTTTTGCTAGTTGTATCTGTATTTTTGAAAAACAAAGACATTTTTCAAAGTACTTTTTTTATTACAGGAATAAATCACCTTGTCTCTGTACTTTAGGATGAATCTCATCTGAACTTTGAAAATGATTAAGTGGCTTGACTTTCTGGAGAATCTAGTCATTGGGTAACATTCTTGTTTTCATAGGTACCAGAAGGTTCTCTTTCATAGTTGATGTTGCACACACATTTTTTCCCCGAGTCTTTGGTATTTATAGTGGCACCATTGCAAACGTTAGAGGCTGTCAACTTTCATTCTTATTATTGCGTCATCTTTGTAGCCAAAAACATGGGAAGAAATGTTCATGGCTCTGCCCCATACTTGTTCCCTTCTACCTGGTCTACCTACCTGGTGGCTCCTGTCCCACCACAAATGACAGCCTGTGTCTTTCATGCTGGCAGCTATTCTTTCACTAGCCACTTACCTCCCTGCAACCCCTATGCCTCCCTGTGTCTGCCTGATGTTTGAATTGTCAGTGTTCCTGTATTGTATTTTTTGGTTTTTGAGACGGAGTTTTGCTCTTGTTACCCAGTCCGGAGTGCAATGGTGCAGTCTTGGCTCACCACAACCTCTGCCATCCAGGTTCAAGTGATTTTCTTGCCTCAGCCTCCCTAGTCGCTGGGATTACAGGCATGCGCCACCACACCTAGCTAATATTTTGTGTTTTTAGTAGAGATGGCGTTTCTCCAAGTTGGTCAGGTTGGTCTTGAACTCTCGACCTCAGGTGATCTGCCCACCTCGGTCTCCCAAAGTGTTGGGAGTACAGGTGTGAGCCACCATACCTGGCCTCCTGTGTTGTGTTTTTACAAGAATGTATGGGGCAGAAAACTCTTGCCATTCATTTTCTTAGTAGGAATTCTAGCCTTCCTTGGAGCCATGGTAATGTGGAGATATGGCAATACGTGGATTGCACCACTCAATGGCCGTCTGGAAGCCACGGTGGTACAAAAAGCCACCTAGGCATGAGTTAGTGTCCTGGGGCACTCAATAGGGACATGCTCTGTCCACACCTGGCATACCCTTAGAAAAGCTTCACTGTGAAAACACTGGGAATAAAAATGCTAACAATAGATAGGGATTTTTTTCCCCTTGAGACAGAGGCTCTCTCATTTACCCATGCTGGAGTACAGTGGTGTGATCTTGGCTCACTAGACCTCTGCCTCATGGTTTCAAGTGATTCTCATGGCTCAGCCACCTGAGTAGCTGGGATTACAGGCCAGCACTGCCACCCCCGACTAATTTTTATATTTTTAGTAGAGATGGGGTTTCACTATTTGGCCAGACTGGTCTCAAAC